AAGTAGTGAGGGATTGGGGGGCTCGCTTGGCTTGGAATTAAAAAAGGGGTCTTTGAGGAAAAATAAGTTCAGAATTTAAAGCACTGATTAGACTATATACTGAATAACTTTTACTAGATAATGATGAGCAAATATTACATGAATTTGTAGCCTTTAAATTTACTCAAACGTTAGTGCAAATTGTTACGAGGATTTTTTTCAAGTAAATCTTACAAGTTTATAACAGCACACATGCATCAAGCACAATATTTTAACATGACAGCTCACAGCTACAGAGAGAGGTGGAACTCTTGTTGTAGTTCAAGAATTCACCACCAGGTGGTGGTTTTGAAAAACCTTTATTGGATTCTTCTTCATGAACAACACAGACAAAGTGAAACTCACAGGTCTTAGTAATGACTAGGCCTTCTACTCTCACTTATGGTTACTTCTGCTGAACGGTTTAACACAAGTTAACAAATAATGAACACACAAATCAGAGTAACACAACAGACTAATTGCTGAAAGAGCAATGCTAACCAATTCCCTAAAATGATTTAACAACAAACATAAATCCTACCCACAATCCTCCACTGCAGTCACATGACAAACAGCCAAACACAGCAGAATGCTACAATATGCATTCCCTGTTCCCTGACAACTAAATATCACCTACATTATGACATCAAACTATTGAACACCAACAAACGTTTTCAAGCAAAAGAAACCAGACAACTTGTGTTTTATTTTGACCATGTTTTGTCCTCTCCTTGAAAAGTGAAGCAAGGGAATGAGGAGCAGCAGCCTTTGTGTGCGCATGCACCCTCAGTTTTAGCCCAGAAGAGTAGAAGTTACTTAATATATTCATGTTTATGTGCTGTCCAGAAAAATCACTTAAATATTACTGGTAAAACAATATTAGCATTTACTTTTTTGTACAGTAATACTGATACATAATATAATGCATATTGTTTATTTACTAAATTCTATTAGTTTAGAGATTTTGAATTTTTTTGTAAAATTTAAAAGAATAATTAAATAAATGTTACCACACCCAAAAGTTTTTTTCAGTGTATGTATTGAACAATACAGATTTTTAAAATGTTACTTTTGTCAAATTGTCTTCAGTGATGTGTTGTGTTGAAGGCTCAGTAGATCTGCCTTCGACTACTCCACCTAGGCTGCATTTTTGAGCGCAGGTCCACTGAGAAACTTGCTGTTTCAGCAACATTTAATTAAAAAACTGTACTTTTGAGGGTAAACAAATGTTCATAATTAATTCAAATAAATTACAAGTTAAGAAGGGCATGGACTTTTCTCTTTTTTGTATCAAAAAAATATCAAACCATGAGACTAATCAAACCAAACCGAATCATGAATTTTCTGTATTGTTGCACCCTACAGAGAGGGGAAAGAAAACTGGAGATTTGTGTCTTCAAAGAGGAAAAATACATTTGATCAGGTAGTCAGAGGTTACTTGTAATTTTACTACCGTAGAGTTGTGCCTGTTTTGGAAAAAAATAAACAGCACTTCATTATTTTTTTTTCACTAATAGTTTTTCAATATGTATTCATTTCTGCAGCTACTTGAAGAATTCAATTCAGTTTATTTCAATTCACATCAAAAGTCATCTCAGGTCACTTTGGGCAGGTCTGCTGCTTGCATTTAGTGAAACTTCCACTTGTGACAACCAAAATACCAAAGTAAAGCAGCTTATTAAAATAAGTAAACAGACATTTTTTTGTCAAACTTAATTTTTTTTTAAGTTTTCTCTAAATCACTGCTGATCGTTGACTGACATAAGATCACAACTTGCCTGACAGGTTATTTTTCTAGTGCACTTAAAGCTTAAAACTGTGCTTTAATTTGAAGA